CCGAACCGTTGGTTATACACAACATCCTCCATCATCATTCCCTGGAAAATGATCATCCGACAGTGGGATCTGTGAATTCAAAACTGAAGGACCCATATCCAATGCCCTTCCACCCAAATAAACAAATGGATCTTACACATTGTCTGTGGTAAACGCACTTGCCAAAATCTAACACGAGTCCTGCAAGTGCCCACAGTATCTCTGTCTCGAATCGGTCCAATGGAAATTCAGTTAATTGTTCTACTCCTGTTGCGTGCACTTCTACGGCCATGTCCACGGTTAGTCCTGTAGCCACCACACATCCAACCACCATACACAATATAGACAAAAACTCCGCCCCACCCCACTCCGTTTTTCCCGGACAACTTCAGTAATGTCATGTTACACCATTCGTTTTATTCTCAAGCATCCAAGCTAATGGTAATAAACATGGCACTGAAATGATAAATCAATGCTGAACAGGAAGCAATGAAATGGATGTCGATCGAGTGCATCTCCCTGAAGTTAATCGAACATCTCCCGTTACCGGTCGACAGATCCCTCCGAAACGAATTACTGTTTTGCGGGGCCATGATTCAGAAGTTTTCATTTGCGCATGGAATCCTCGCAGAGACATGCTGGCCTCAGGTTCCGGCGATTTGACTGCATGGATTTAGAATGTAAAAGAGCCGTTGACTAATCCTCTTCAAGTTCCACATTTGGTTCTCACTCATTACGTCAACCGTGATGGTCAAACCGTGCTGAATAAAATATTTGGATTGGAATTCTGATGGGAGTTTTCTAGCAACTGGTTCTTACGATGGGTAGGCGCGTGTATGGCGCACTGATGGTTGAATAGCGATGGCCCTTGGCTAACTCAAAAGACCCATATTTGCACTGAAGTTGAATCGAAAAGGCAACTACATTCTTACTGCTAGAGTCGACACGACGGCCATCATCTGGGAGTCGCATCGCTCGGCAGTTTTCCTTCCACACAGCTCCAACTCTGGACGTGGGCTGGCGGCTCCTGACGGGTTTCGCTTCCTGTTCTATAGACACAAACATGCAGTTGCGTAGGCTGCCCTTGGTCGGGGGGAGAACCCAGGAGACTGCTTAACCACGGACGGAGTGATTAGCTTGAAGCGCGAATGGCGAGGAACCCACGCCGTGCTAACCTCAACCAATACCCGAGGGATGCTGGTAAAAAGGGATGAGCTGGAGGACTGCGTTGTATCCCACAATCCCGATCTTTTTGCAATCACTAAGACCTGACTGACACCGGATGTCCGGAACTTCAAAATATCACTCCACGGATACACAGTGTTTCGAACGGATTGATCATCGTCACGTCGCGGTGGTGGAGTTGTTCTTTTTGTCCGCTGGGGTCTCCCTGTTCCAGTGCTGGAGTATCAGGCCCATTCGGAAGGTTGTGGAGAAGCCCTGTGGTGCAGAATCAAGCTTTTTGCCGGAGGGTAGACCACAATTGGAGTGATTTACCGCACACCAGCTGTGTACGTCCAAGGGCTGCTGGCCAGCATACAGAGGTACGCCTGCGATGGATATTGTATTGTCTTGGGTGATTTCAACGTGCCCCATGTTGATTGGGAAACTGACATCTCTCAGCACGTAGATTTGTTTTCCAGAGAACTTCTTTTCGCTGTCTGGGCCTTCTCACTTTTTCAGCATGTTCATGTGCCCACGTGGATAATTGGGGATCAAAGATCCATCTTTGACCTGCTGTTTTCGCCGAGGCAATCAGATACGACTAGGATTGACCTCCTTCCACCAATTGCATCTAGTGTTCACTCCGTTCTGCGCATACACTGGAGGCGTGGCGTACCCCAAACGGACAGACCACAGCACAAACGGAATGAGTGGCGCTCATCCTTTCCGGATATGCGTTAGGCTGTATCGCTCACAAATTGGGATTCCCGGAACCCTGAGGATATGGATGTATCCTAGGAGTTGTTTCACCATAGAATCCAGCAACTCATACTGAAATTCATTCCATCTCACAGTCACTGAACACACGCTATGGGCCCGCCGTGGTTTGACCAAGAACTACGGGGGTGCCTCCGGCAGCGGAATAAAGCCTGGTCCAGGTACCGTGCAACAGGCACAGGATATGAGGAATATCGATGTATTCGGAATCACTGTACTGCACTACAAAAATGCAAGAGAACCATATTCGAGGAACGACTACCAGCGGATTCAGTACAAGCACTAAGGCGATTGTATGCCTACCTTAGGTGAAAAATCAGAGCAACGCCTGGTCTCCCGACTCTCGCCAAAGATAGGGCACTAGCCGAAAAAGATAAGGACAAAGCGGAGATGCAGGCATCACATTATGCCTCAGTGTACACCCCAGACTCCGGCACACTGGCACATCTACTGGACACTGACACTGCGCTGAACTGGGCCCGATTTACCATCGGAGAGGTGGCCCTGGAGCTGCGTCGACTAAAGGTTCACCAGTCACCTGGACCTGATCCTGAAGGAGCTGGCAGATGAACTTGAAGCGCCACTGTGCAACCTGTTCAATTTGTCATTCACTCAAGGGCAAATACCGCGGCGGTGAAAGGACGCTGTCATTTTTCCACTGCCCAAAGTTGGGGACGGGAGTGACCCCGGGAACTACCGTCCAGTCAGCCTTAATGGCGTTGTAGGTAAAGTAATAGAGCGACTGGTGGCTCCACGGCTTCGGCAGCATTTGGTGTGCCACGGTCGCCTGTGCCACCAACAACACGGTTTCTGGCCGGGTCGCTCATGCCTCTCAAACCTGCTACTTGCACGTGAATGCTGGACCAAGAACAAGGCCAAAGGACACGAAACGGATATCATTTTCATGGACTTCAGAAAGGCCTTTGACAAGATGCCGCACGACCTTCTGCAAAAGCTGCCCAAACTAGGTGTAGGTGTGGTCATGCGGAATTGGCAGCGAGACTTCCTCACTGACCAGGAAATTCTGCGTGGTATTGGCAAATTGCTCTCTGCATGGTATTCCGCTTCCAACGGGGTTCACCAAGGCTCGGTTCTTAGTCCATTGCTCTTTGTGGTATATATGAACGACCTTCCCGGTCAAATATACAGCCCATCCCTCATGTACGCGGATGACATCGAAATCTGGCGCACCATCAAGGATCCGAATGGTCGAAGTTCTCTTCAAGCGGATTTGAGCAGCCTGGCTCAGTGGGCGGATACCTGGGCTCTTCCAGTCAACACAGCAAAGTGTGCTCACCTGCACTTAGGGCGTGCTGACTCAGAGGTAGTCTACAACTTCCAGGGAATCACATTCTGCAAAGCATCGTGCGAGCGAGACCTGGGTGTATTTCATGCTGAATTTCTTGAAAATCCTTCCGAACCCATAGTGATTTATGGTGAAATAACTTTATCTGTGTGTTGCTCCTGTATTGATATTTCTCGATCACGAACACCACACATCATCATTTATCTGTTAATTTGGATGCTCGGTACATTTGAATTTGGCGTGGTTTGAGAACGGGAGCGAGTGTTTGCCCCTCTCTGGACATCTTATTTGGCTCGCTTGTTTGAGTGCTTTTGGCCGCGTATTTGAGGTTTGCTTTATTGTACATTTTGTATTGATTTCGTTAATTCAGTACCGTAGAACATTGCGGATCAGTTGTGTTTTTAATTCGGAATTCGTATCGGTTCGGCTACGCGTCACTCAAATGCGAATTGGTTGACGTACACTGGGTGTTATGGTTACGTCATTCCAAAAGACCCGAGGAAACACCGATCGGGTCTGTGCCATCGCATGGAGCATTCTGGGGTCTATTTGGCGGTCTTTCAACCAGCCCACGATGAACGCTTTCAGGCTGTTATACGCTTCCCATGTTATCCCAAGACTTGAGTATGGTGGTGTGGCGACGTTTTCCTGCACGGCCGGTGAACTGGCTAAGTTGGAGCGCGTACAACGTGCTGCCACTCGACTCGTTGTTGGACTACGCGGGGCCAGTTATGAAGGTCGTTATCAGGCTACTGGTCTGTTCCCAATTGCGTATCGACTCCTCAGGGGGAACCCACTTGTTTACGTTTCAGCCAGAGGTCCTCAATCCGTGACCTAGCCTCTTGTTCTTTTACCTCACTGATTGTCGTATTTCCAATTATCTCATTCATTCATCCGGTATAACGATTCTTGTTTTTCGTCCTACTTCCACCGACTTGCTCTTTTGTGGCCCAGCTGCCTCTTGTTCTTTTACTCACTGATTTTCGTATTTCCAATTATCTCATCATTCATCCGGTGTGCCTCTTGTTCTTTTACCTCACTGATTGTCGTACTTCCAATTATCTCATCATTCATCCGGTATAACGATTCTTGTTTTTTGTCCTACATCCACCGACTTGCTCTTTTGGTGCATTCTGCCATCTCGATCTTATTCTCTGACACCTTGTCCACTTTTTGTTCCATTTGTAATTATGTTCACTGCGACCTTCAATTTTTTTGCCCCCTTTTGGACCTCTCCTGTACGGAGGATTATGTTGTACATTTGATCATGCCTATGCATGCCTCACGGGGCTCCGTGAAATATACACTTATTATTATTATTATTATTATTAAGAGAAGCAAAACGGCAACATGAGCTTCAACTGGCCAAATGCGCCAAAATAAAACCAAAGAAAAACCAAAGCTACGTTCAGTCCAAAGCAGCACTGAGACCATTAAATATAGGTGCTGCATCAGTGGTGATGGACGACCAGGGTAAGGCAGATGCATTGGCTGGATATTTTGGCAGTGTACACCGAATAGATGACAGTATTCCGAGAACTTTGGAGTTAGGAACATCCCCGCCAGAAATCAGAGAGCTTCAGTTATCGGAAGAGGTAGCGCGGCAACACTTGGAGGGCCTATACGTTCATAAAGCGGCTGGACCAGAAGAGATCCACCCTGCTATAATGAAACCCATAGCTGACATTCTCGCAGGACCGGTGTATAAGTTATTCAAAGCTTCATAAGGTCAGGGTGTCCTACCGAGGGACTGGAAGGTAGCAGCGGTGGTAGCCATACATAAGGTGGGGAGCCCGATCAGAGTTAGGTAACTACAGGCCAGTTAGTCTAACTAGTATCTTGTGTAAGGTGCTAGAAAAGATTATTCGCACCCATATATGCCAGCACCTAATGCAGCATTCTATGGTGTGTCCAACTCAACACGGGTTTATCAAAGGTAGATCCTGTTTGGCTAGTCTACTGTGCTTCTTGGACGAAGTTTCCAGAAGATTGGACGAGGGACACAGGCTAGATGTGCATTATCTTGACTTCAGCAAGGCGTTTGACTCGGTCAACGAACGCCTGCTAGTAGTCAAAATAGAAGCGTTCGGTATAAGGGGACAAATACACACATAGCTGAGAGACTTCTTCACAAACAGGACCTTCTACGTCAAAGTAGGTGACAAGTGCTCCCGTACGTCACAAGTGGTGTACCTCAGGGCTCTGTGCTAGGTCCATTGTTGTTCCTGCTTTTCGTAAAAGACCTTGCTGCGCTGCTGACATCGCCCACCTTTTTCTTCTCCGACGATGTCAAGGTGGTTGGATCTGAAGGAAGAGAGAACCTAAAAAGAGACATAACTGCTGTCCTTAGCTGGGCGCAGAAGTGGGATTTGCCGCTGAATACTGGTAAAAGCCAGTTGCTATCGCGGACTGACGGAAGCTTGATAGTAGTGCAAGACCATGGTCCGTTCACGATAGAACCGGTTGGTAAGGTAAAGGACCTGGGTATTGTCGTAACCTCCGATTTCCGCTGGGCCCAGCAGTGCGCAGCAGGCGCAAATA